TTTCATCCGATTTAAAGTAAATGGTGTACCAAAGTTTCTTAAATATCTATCGGTTTGCACGAAATTTGGCACAGCGTAATGAATTAGGTCTAGAATGATGTATATTATGTTTCCTGAAATCGGTTCAGATTTAGATATAACTTCTATATCTGACCAAATGAACAATTTAGTATCGGTTGCAGAATGACATGTTTATGGATCCAATTTCAGTTTTACTGGTCCTTTAAAAATGCGACGCCTGTTAGGATTCATCTGTTGAATATACCCAAAGTGGTGAAGGGTACCATATAGTCGGCCCCTTCCGACTTTACTACTTTCCTTACTGGTTTTTTCTGACATCAACCCATTAGCTCGGGCCAACAGACACTGCAGGCCCAGTGTCTGGCCAGGCCAGTTGGCTGGATGGCTGGATGGTATGATTTGGTTTTATCAATGTTCAAGGAATTTTTTTTTTTCATTTCTAATATATATTTATCTTATTAAAAACAACAAGACACAAAAACTATAATTTATTATATTTTTTGTTAAAGACAAGCGAAAAAAAAACAAAAAAAAAATTAATAAAAAATTAAATATCTCAATTTTTGTTCTCCCTTATCAATTCCCCGGGTTGTTGTTTGTTTGTGAGTTTTTTTTTAATTGAATTGTCAATTTCTTGTAGTTGTTGGTGTTGTTGTTGTTCTGTTGTTAACATTAAACGTTTGTTTGGTAATTAACTTTGCTGACTTCTAACTTGAAATTGTTGTTTGTTTTTTTGAAATTGAGAGGTTGCCAGGGGGTATAGATAGAGTCGGGGTATGCCACCCACAATTGGTTCCATAGTTCAAAATGTTCTGTTTCGCATCATGTCACTTGAATCTCGGGTGTGTTACAACATGTGTCAACAATATTTAATTTTCACAATAGTTAAGATAAGGCGGCGGAGTGTGCGACATAATAGAATGGGGTGAATGGAATGATGAGTTAGGTAGGTTAGGTCAAGTTGAGGTAATAGAAAACAAATATTTTTTTAAAAATCCAGGCCTTGGTTTTACAAGAAAAAAAAATATTCTTTAAAAAATTCAGAATCTTTGGTGCCCCATTTACCTTAAATCGGACGAAAATATAGATGGGATCTATATCTAAATCTAAACGGATCTTCAGGAAACTTAGCACCCATCATTCTAGGCTTAATTCAGTACGCTGTGCCAAATTTAGTGCAAATCGAAGGATATATAGAGACTTTGGTGCACCATTTACCTTAAATCGGACGAAAATATAGATGGGAGCTATATCTAAATCTGAACTGATTTTCACGAAACTTAACACACATCATTCTAGACTCAATTCATTACGCAATGCCAAATTTCGTGCAAATCGAAAGATATTTAGGGACTTTGGTGACCCATTCACCTTAAATCGGACGAAAATATATATGGGAGCTATATCTAAATCTGAACCGATTTTCACGAAACATAGCACACATCATTGTAGACATAATTCAGTACGCTGTGCCAAATTTCGTGCCAATCGAAAGATATTTAAGGCCTTTGGTGCACCACTTACCTTAAATCGGACGAAAATATAGCTGGGAGCTATATCTAAATTTGAGCCGATTTTCACGAAACTTGGCAAACAGCATTCTAGACCTTATTCATTACGCTGTGCCAAATTTCGTGCAAGTCAATTGATTTCCAAGGACTTTAAAGGACTATTAACCTAAAATCGGGCGAAGCTATATATGGGAGCTATATCGAAATCTGAACCGTTTTTTCCCAATTTCAATAGGGTTCGTCCTTGGGCCAAACAAATGAGCTGTGCCAAATTTCATCCAATTCGTATCATAAATGCGACCTATACTTTGTTTACAATTTAACATGGACGGACGGACATACGTGCGGACGGACATGCATAAATCGACTTAGAAAGTGATTCTATGCATATTCTCAAAAGGAACCATGTGTCTATCTCGATAATTTTTGCCTGTTACAAACATATGCACAAAGACATAATACCACAGTGTGGTGAAGTGTATAAAAATAAGAATTAGGTCCACATCATCCCAAAATTATTATCTGATCATCATCGAAAATTATAAGTGTTGTCCTTGACCATAACTGGAACCTCATGGAACATTTCAAAACGATCACCGCTATATTTCCGCCCTGCAGTGTGGTAATGGTTTACTAAATAATATATGAATACGTAAGCTCCTGAAAATATTTACGTGTAACTCCCACATCCGAGTACATACGACAATATAATTGGTATCAATTCAAAGGTCAATCACTCCTCTTGGATATAACCTCAACTTCTCGGGTCTATGTCCTTCGGGAGTAAATATATTCACCATAGAATACAAGTTTTGTAATTTTTTTCACACAAAAGTCAGGGTCCATTTGACGCGCTAAATATTGACCGATCTTTATCAAAACAGGCATGCTTATTATATGGCCCGATCCCCTTCTCCATGTAAAAATTCACGATGTTTGGATCATAATTGCGGCCTCTGGAGCGACCAGAAAATCAGGCAAAAATAATGTTTTTGGTCCACTTTATCCACTAAATATTAACCGATCTTTACCAAACACAATAGGGGTCTTCATTGGCCAGAACCCATCCTACATGCAAAATTTCGTGATGATTGGTCCATAACTGTGGCCTGTATCGTGTTTACAAATTATAATAGACAGACGGACGAAAGGACGGACACACATGTCTAGATCGACTCAGCTATTCGAGATATGACGATCGGTATACTTAAAGGTGGGTCTAGGACCAATATTTCGCGGCGTTACAAACTCTTGGGGCTGCACAAAGCTATAATACCCTGACAACATAGTTGTCTAGGGTATAAAAATCGACGTTTTTTATACCCTTCACCACGATGTGGTATAGGGTATTATGTCTTTGTGCATATGTTTGTAACAGGCAAAAGGAATCGAGATAGACCCATGGTTGCTTTTGAGAATATGCATAGAATCACTTTCTAAGTCAATTTATGCATGTCCGTCCGTCCGTCCGTCCGTCCGTCTGTTCATGTTAAATTGTAAACACGGTACAGGTCGCATTTATAATTCGAATTGGATGAAATTTGGCGTAGTTCATTTGTTTGGCCGAACCCTATTGAGATTGAGAACAATCGGTTCAGATTTAGATATAGTTTCCATATAGATTTTCGTCCGATTTAAGGTAAATGGTGTACCAAAGAGTCAAATCTAGGCCGATTGGCACGAAATTTTGCACAACTGAAGTAAGAATACACTAATGTGTGCCAAGTTTTATTGAAATCGGTTCAGATTTAGATATAGCTCCAATATGTATTTTCGTCCGATTTGTGGAAAATGGTCCCCCAATGAGTCAAATTTAGGCCGATTGGCACGAAATTTTGCACAACGTACTGAAGTTAGGACAGTCAAACGTGTGCCAAGTTTTAGACAAATCGGTTCAGATTTAGATATAGCTTCCATATATATATATATATATATATATATATATTCGTCCGATTTAAGGTAAATGGTGTACCAAAATCCCTATATGTCTTTCGATTTGCACGAAATTTGGCACAGCGTAATGAATAAGGACGGGAATGATGTGTGTTAAGTTTCGTGAAAATCGATTCAGATTTAGATATAGCTCCCATATAGATTTTCGTCCGATTTTGGGTAAATGGTGTACCAAAGTCCCTATATATCTTTCGACTTGCACGAAATTTGGCACAGCGTAATGAATAAGGTTTACAATGATGTGAGTTAAGTTTCGTGAAAATCGGTTCAGACTTAGATATAGCTCCCATATATAGTTTCGACCGATTTAAGGTAAATGGTGTATCAAAATCCCTATATGTCTTTCGATTTGCACGAAATTTGGCACAGCGTAATGAATAAGGACGAAAATGATGTGTGTTAAGTTTCGTGAAAATCGATTCAGATTTAGATATAGCTCCCATATATATTTTCCACCGATTTTAGGTAAATAGTCCACTAAAGTCCCTGGAAATCTTTCAATTTGCACGAAATTTGGTATAGCGTACTAAATTATGCGTAGAATGATGTGTGTTAAGTTTCGTGAAAATCGGTTCAGATTTAGATATAGCTCCCATATATATTTTCGTCCGATATAAGGTAAATGGTGTACCAAAGTCCCTATATATCTTTCGATTTGCACGGAATTCGGCATAGCGTACTGAATTAAGCCCAGAATGCTGTGTGCTAAGTTTCATGAAAATCGGTTCAGATTTCGATATAGCTTCCATGTGTAATTTCGTCAGATTTTATGTAATTTGTGTACCAAAGTCCCTATATATAAAATCCAGGGGGTAATTTGACTTCTTAATTATTTACTTTGCCCTCACCCTCATTCCCGCTCTCTTATCTATATTTATAAAAACTTCAAGAAGAAATAAAGTAAACAATTACCCCCATAGACCTATTTCAGTGTTTTCATTTATTTGTAAATGTCTTAGAAATTAAATAAATAAAAAAAAATTCCTCACCCTTTTATATAAAATCCAGATTGCAAAAAAAGAGTTTCGCAATTTCACAAAAGACCAAAAAAAAAAATCAATAAATAAAGAACAAATATTTATTTATTTGTGTAAACACAAACCACCAACGAACCTCGTGTGCAAAGCCACTTAGGGTTGCGGTAGGACTGTTTGGGAATTTTTGCTGTATTATTTTTAAATCAAAATAAATAGAATTAGGCATAATTGTGACATTATTTAATTGTTTTAAAATAGAAGTAAGGTCTCTTTTTGTATTGAAAAAAAAAGAAACAAGTCAGAGATAAGTATTCGTGGAATTTCTTCAATTGCTTTGTAGGTGTTCGAAAAAAAAGTTCCCCCCACATTAGAATGCTTGTGCCAGCCAGCTACACCCACTTAAGGAGGTGGCGGCACTTGACTGGGAAACTTGAACAAGCGTTCTTTCGTTTTCAAATAACATTGTCATGGGAGTGTGTCTGAGAAGTATTCTAAGAAAATTTTGCTATAAAAAAAATATATAGAAAGTGGTACTTACCATCAGGAGGTAAATAATCTTGGCATAGACCGTAAGCTGTGGTAACCTGAAAGAGGAAAATAAAATGAGAATTTTAAATATAAATATTTTATAATTATTTTTGTGGTTCCTAAAAAATAATTTTTCCCGAAAAAATATTTTTTTAAATCCCCGCCCGGTGGAGGGTCCTTAGAAAATATTCATAAAAAATCGAGCCTTATATTTGCCTCTAAAAATCCTTTTTTTTATTTTGTTTAAAAGGTTCTCTGTTGTTTTTTCCAAAGCCCCCTAATGTTGACGACCCCCGCAAACGTATAAAGGACCACGATCTGCGAATCTGCACAATCTGCACGTGCGCACATTGCACGTTGTACGGCACAGTCGCAGTATTCGCTTTGGCGGATGTACTCAAGAAGTACAAAGCCGATATTATTGCCTTACAGGAAATGCGATAGAATGGGACTGGCGTAAGTAAATCAGATGATTATGCCCTGTATTATAAGCTGTCATGAAACGAGACATGAATTAGGCTGCGAATTTATGGTTAACAGGAGAATAAAAGACCTCGTCTCCAGATTCACTCCAGTCGATGAGCAAATTGCTATAATCCTTATAAAACCGAAGTTCTTCTACATCAGTCTCATTTGCGCCCATGCTCCGACCGAAGATAAAGATGAACAGACCAAAGACATATTTTACGAGCGCCTAGAAACAGCATATGATCGTTGCTCTGGTCATGACATTCGAATTCTGCTAGGAGATTTTAATGCAAAAATCAGAAGATTCAAGTATCTCGATATACACAAGGTCACTTGGATTTCTCCCGATCGAACAACGAGAGAAATCAAATCGATCATGTTGTGATAGACGGAAGGCATTCATCCAGTGGTTAGACCGGAGCGAATATCGATTCGGACCATTACCTTGTGGCAGCCAAGGTATTTTACGAGCGCCTAGAAACAGCATATGATCGTTGCCCTGGTCATGACATTCGAATTCTGCTAGGAGATTTTAATGCAAAAATCGAAAGGGAAGAAATATCTTTGGCCCCACCGTCGGAAAATTCAGCCTACATGAAGAAACATCAGACAACGGCAACGGAGGTTGATTGACTTCGCGGTAGCAAAAAACATGGTAGTTAGCAGCACCAGATTCAAGCATCTCGATATACACAAGGCCACTTGGATTCCTACCGATCGAACAACGAGAGAAATCAAATCGATCATGCTGTCATAGACGGAAGGCATTCATCCAGTGTTTTAGACGTCCGAACGATCCGGGGAGCGAATATCGATTCGGACCATTACCTTGTGGCAGCCAAGGTACGCAGCCGTCTTTATGTAGCAGCAAAGGTGCGATCTAACACAACACGGAAACTCGACGTCGAGAAACTGCAAACACAACAGATAGCAGAAGCCTACTCAGCTCAACTTACCCAACTGCTTGACGAAAGCACCCCTTGTCCCGATAATAATATAGAAGCACAATGACCTATAAACTGCAACAAAAGCAACACTTGGGTACAAAAGACCACCATCAAGAAATCCGTGGTACGATCAGGAGTGTCGTAATGCTGGTGATATGAAAAACGCAGCGTATAGGGCAACCCTGCAGACAGTAGCAACACATAATGCAATGGAGAACTATCGGGAGAAAAGTAGAAACGCATTTTCAGAAAAAAGAAGAAAGAGCAAGAAAAACGTGAGAGTGAGCAAATCGTCAGAATGAAGTCCGAAAATTCTACCAACGGGTTAAACAACAAACCAAAGGTTTTGGTCCAGGCACATCCACCTATAGATATAAAGAAGGAAACCTGGTGACAGATACAAACAGCGTGCTGAGGATCGGGAAAGAATATTTTGAAAAGCTTCTGGTATCAAATAGTGGCGGCGAAGGGGATATCCGAGAACCAATAATTGATTATCCTAACAGACGTCGAATTTTTGAAGGACCATTGACATGAAATGAAGAATTTATAGGGAAGGATATATATGGGAGCTATATCTAAATCTGAACCGATTTTCATGAAGTCTTACACACATCGTTTTAGACTTAATTCAGTAAGCTATGCCAAATTTCGTGCAAATCGAAGGATATATAGGGACTTTGGTACATTATTTACCTTAAATCGGACGAAAATATATATTGGGGCTATATCAAAATCTGAACCGATTTTCAGGAAATTTAACACACATCGTTCTAGACATAATTCAGTACGCTATCCCAAATTTCGTGCAAATCGAAATATATGTAGGGTCTTTGGTGCACTATTTACCTAAAATCGGTCGAAACTATATATTGGAGCTATATCTAAATCTGACCGGATTTTCACGAAATTTAGCACACATCATTCTTGACTTAATTTAGTACGCTATGCCAAATTTCGTGCAAATCGAAAGATATATAGGGACTTTGGTGCACTAAAATCGGTCGAGACTATATGGGAGCTATATCTAAATCTGAACCGATTTTCACGAAACTTAGCACACATCATTCTGGACTTAATTTAGTACGCTATGCCAAATTTCGTGCAAATCGAAGGATATATAGGGACTTTGGTGCACTATTTACTAAAATCGGACGAAAATATATGGGAGCTATATCTAAATCTGAACCGATTTCAATAAATCTTGACACATCTTAGTATATCCTAACTTCAGTACGTTGTGCAAAATTTCGTGCCAATCGGCCTAAATTTGACTCTATGGTGCACTATTTGCTAAAAATCGGACGAACATATATATGGGAGCTATATCTAAATCTGAATCGATTTTAATAAAACTTGGCACACATTAGTCTATCCTAACTTCGGCACGTTGTGCAAAATTTGTTGTCAATCGACCTAAATTTGACTCTTTGGTCCACCATTTGCGAAAATCGGTCGAACATATATATGGGAGCTATATCTAAATCTAAACCGATTTTCATGAAATTTAACACACTTCGTTCTAGACTTAATTCAGTACGCTATGCCAAATTTCGTGCAAAGGATATATAGGGACTTTGGTGCACTATTTACCTAAAATCGGACGAAAATATATATGGGAGCTATATCTAAATCTGAACCGATTTTTCCCAATTTCAATAGGGTTCGTCCTTGGGCCAAATAAGTGACCTATGCCAAATTTCATCCAAATCGGATCATAAATGCGACCTGTACTTTGTTTACAATTTAACATCTACAGACGGATAGACGGCCGCACGGACATGCATAAATCGACTCAGAATGTGATTCTATGCATATTCTCAAAAGGAACCATGGGTCTATCTCGTTTCCTTTTGTCTGTTACAAACACAAGACATAAGACATAATGCCCTGTACCACAGTGTGGTAAAGGGTATAAAAACTCGCAAATTTCCACCACCAAATAAATATATATATTTTTTATTATATAAAATAGTTTCTTATATATTGAAAATTATTCCACACAAATCTCCACTTAATATATTCTCATTCCAGCCGAAAAACTTAGAACAAAGTCATAGGATTTCGTTTTACGTTTACCATAATAGTTCAATGAGGTTATGCGATAGTCTCCTGGCCTTAAGAACATCGGTAGGCCATTGGCATCGGACTGTAAATTACGGACGTAGTAATGACCCTACAGGTATAGAAGAAAGTTTCAAAATTATTTTGAAAAAAAATAGCAAAAAAATATCCTTCCTCCTTACCACTGGTATCGGACAATTCTCCTGAATATTGCTATATTTCAGCACCGTCCTGTACCAAATACTTAAAATACTGTTTTTCGAAAAGTCACTCAGTACCTTACAGAAATCAAATTCATAGGCAAATAGACGTTGAAAATTATCCGTATTCTCCATACGTATATGAACGGTAATGAAACCGTGTAGACCATAGTTTATGGGCAGCTCCGTTTCGAAATCAATATTCATCTTGCCACTCTCAATCCATGAGGTCATATTTTTAATATATTTCGTATTGAAACTTACTTCGGAATTGGTATAGTTCAAATAACGTCCTGGAGGAAAAGGGATTTTTTGAATGTATTTTAAAATTTTATTGAAAAGGACCTACCAAAACCCTGGACCCTTTGCAGACTTAGCAGGAGAAGTAGAAACCCCAGTTGTAAAAATTCCATTCTGAATGCATTTGGAATTATCTTGCCCAGTGCATTTTATTTGTTTCGGAAAATCTCGATATATTGTAATGGTAAATTATTTTTTAATTAGGTTTCTATTACAATTACAAGAAAACATGCACTCTACAGCTGGTTCGGTAGGTACTTCCAAGAATTATATAGGAGCTGTATCTAAATCTGAACCGATTTTCACGAAACTTAACACACATCAATCTAGACTCAATTCAGTACGCTATGCCAAATTACGTGCAAATCGAAAGATATATAGGTACGTTGGTGCACCATTTACATTAAATCGGACGAAGATATATATGGTAGCTATATCTAAATCAGAACCGATTTTCACGAAACTTAACACACATCATCCTAGGCATAAGTCAGTACACTATGCCAAGTTTCGTGCAAATCAAAAGATAATTAGGGACTTTGGTGCACCATTTATCTTAAATCGGACGAAGATATATATGGAGCTATGTCTAAATCTGAACCGATTTTCACAAAACTTAGCACACACCACTCTAGAATCAAATCAGTACGCTATGCCAAATTTCCTGCAAATCGAGGCATATATAGGGTCTTTGGTGCACTATTTACCTAAAATCGGACGAAAGCATATATAGGAGCTATATCTAAATCTGAACCGATTTTCACGAAATTTAACATACATCGTTCTATACATAATTCAGTACGCTGTACCAAAATTCGTGCAAATCGAAGAATATTTAGGGACTTTGGTGCATCATTTTCCATAAATCGGACGAAGATATATATGGGAGCTATATCTATATCTGAAGCGATTTTCACGAAACTTAGCACACATGATTCTAGGCTTAATTCAGTACGCTATGCCAAATTTCGTGCAAATCGAATAATATATAGGGTCTTTGGTGCACCATTTACATAAAATCGGACGAAAATATATATGGGAGCTATATATAAATCTGAAGCGATTTTCACGAAACTT